CAGTGCCCTCTAAAGAAGAAATTTGATGCTGTTACTAATATGATTCCCAGAAACCACTGGGCTTGCTGTTATTGATAATCACAAAGGTAAGCAGAATGGGACCTACTAACACAAGATACTTAGGACTACGAAACGGCTCCTCTCGGGTACTGTAATTCAAGTCCACCATACAGGGGAAGGTACAAACTTATACAATAGAGTCAACTAACTTTCAAGACCTCCCCACGTGTTTCTAATATCCTGCTAACAGTAATGAAATTAACATTATTTTCACCATCCAAGTAGTGCTTCAGATACCAAATTTTAAACATAAAAAGTTTGATTGTTTATCCAATAATACTATATAGACTACAACTCACTGGTAAATATACAGATTTTAAAATTATATAAAGTTTTCACTTTTGCATACTCTTCCTATGGGAAATAGTAATAGCAGAGTTTATAAAATGGTCCTGGGAAGAGCAGATCAGGAGTTAACAGAAGACCGCAGATCTTAAATGTTCATTCTAATAACTGTTTTTGCTAATAACCTGTCATAAGCCCTAAATGCCCCAGCCTTAAAACAAACCGATCTTACTAAGCAGACTTCAAAAACAAAACAAATAGAAAGGTCTTTCGTAACTATCCACCCAGGAGTCTGCCATACTTTTTAAAAATTATTATTTATTCTCTTCCAAAAGCCTGAAATGCTAGTTGTAGGTAGGTCAGGAGCCCTGACCTTTTCCTGATAGGGATTTTTCTTTTCCCTCTAGGGAGAGTCAGCTGCTGATGGTGGGAGGGAAGAGGAAAGGTTAATACTTTCTGAGGCTGACAGCAGAGGCTTTATCAGTAAGCCAGGCTTCCAGAGCTACAGGTCAGGAGTCGGGGCCTATGACTTAGGCTTTCCTATGTAGGCCATGGGTTGATGTGATTACTTGGGAGGGCTTCTTTGGCTTGGCTCTATGGGAATTTATGTTTATGGCATCACTACTTAGTGATAAATAGCACGGTAAAAAAGAAGCAGAGGGAAAACCCAGAGGAATGGCAAATGTCAGGACTAGTAATTTTTGGCAAACCGGAACTTTAGGAATACGTAAAACTAACAAAAAATTTACTACTTTTCTATTTTCTTTCAATTTACTGATTCTAGTATCAATGGTCTTCTGGTCTTAGATGCTTTACTCTAGGCACTTCTGTATTCAGTCTAACAGAAAATAAAGTATCAACAACCTTTAGCGAAGGTCACAATTTCTAACTGCATGAAACCTCAAGATTTTAAAGCCTTCTAGGTTTCTCTCAAAACTAAATGTTTTAGGGGCCAGCCTGGGGGCACAGTGGTTAACTTTGTGTGCTCCGCAGGTTTGGAACCCCGGGTACAGACCTACGCACCGCTTATCAAGCCATGCTGTGGCCATGCCGTGGCGGCGTCTCATATAAAGTAGAGGTAGATGGGCACGGATGTTAGCCCAGGGCCGGTCTTCCTCAGCAAAAAGAGGAGGATTGGCAACAGACGTTAGCTCAGTGCTAATCTTTCTCAAAAAAAACAAAAACAAAAAACAACTAAATGTTTTAATTACGGCTTTTATTATTAGCTTCCCTACCAGATCCAATGATTTCGTTAACTGGTTTAGTTTATAATAAGCTCTATAAAGTAGGAAGTTGCTCCTATACAACAGTAAGGAATATCTAGGAAAAAAACATATAATATTGTGCCCTACGTCTGACAACATTGAAATGCTCATTAGTTATATGCCAGTAGAAAAATAAAAATAAACATGGGCCTTAAAACAATGGATTACAAATATTCAATACACAGCTGAACTGTGATTAAAGACTGAAACATGTTCAGCCTTAACGAGGCCGCATTTTCACATCTGCTGTGTTATCTACACAGGGAACAGTATTCAGCCATAAAAAGGAACGAGACACATTCTACAACATGCATGAACCTTGAAAACAGTCTAAGCCAGACACAAAAGGCCACATATTGTATAACTCCATTTAAATGAAATGTCCAGATTAGGCAAATCCAGAGAGACAAAAAGTAGATTAGTGGTTGCCGGGGGCTGTGTGGAGAGGTACATGGGGAGTGACTGCTACCAGGTATGGGGTTTCTTTTGGGGCTGATGAAAATGTTCTGGAATTAGATAGTGGTGATGACCGCACAACCTGGTGAATATAGCAGAAACCACTGAACTGTGGACATGTGAACTCTATCAATTTTTTAAAAAGCAGATCTCTAAGGACCTTTTCAGGTCTGAAACTAGCAGATTCCCTTGCTGCTGTTCCATTTAAAAGATGCCAATAAAACAGATCGCTGTTATTTTCCGGGAAATTAAAGGAAGATGGCATACAAGCAAAAGAACCCCATAAAATCCAAATATTTGGCTTCCACAAACATGCTGGCTCCCACTGAACTTTTTTCTTTTTTAAACCAAGAAGTACTAACAAGTAACCAATCCTGAGAATACCCTCTGTGTACAACTATTTTTATAAGGACTTCAGTCTAAGTTTGGGCTCAGGCAAAACTGACACTTCACAGCTCATACCAATCTAAGGGACTGTTTTAATGACACTACAGTGTAGTCAGAGCTCTCGTGTTTAAGATCCAATGAGATCAAGTACGTGAAAGCGGTGAGCACACTGCCCACCACAGTCAACACAGACACACACGGAAATCTAGTTGAACAATTAACCTGCTCTGATTTCTCTACCTGTTACCCGTGATCTCTATTTCAGTTCTGAAGATGAAGCTGTACTCAGAATATGAACTTCGGACATGCATAGTTAATCACAAACTATTTAGCTTCTTTTTGGTAATAATTCCAAATCCGAAGGACAAGGAAAGGGGATAGTTTACCACAATAGGCCATACTACGTTATTGCCATCAAATATTTATAGCATCTTAATGCACAGAGTACTTGAACACACCAGACCACTAACTCTTTAAAGAAACAAACATCAAAATAACCCCAAACTGTGCAACCCTGTAAGCAGCCACTTGCACAGGAGAAGTAATGACATTCAAGTGCTGACTTAATTGTAAATTAACTCCCATTAGTCAGGCCCCTCAGACTTTCACCCCACCTGGCTGACTTGATGTGTATTATTTCATCAAGTAAAGGCATACATTACCAAGTTTTCTGGGTATGGGAAAGCTGGTTAGCAATTTGGTAAGATCAAATGCAGAATATGTAACGTACTCTTTTCCTAAATTACTATAAAATCAACACGGCCACACCATGAAAAAAAAGCAAGTTTAGTTTTATGTGGTTAACGTACCTTTACCTAAATACCTAGTTTCAGAGAGTATCCTGAATCCTGCCAACTCATCGATAGCAAACATTCCCCTCCCTTATTCCCTTTCTGTTAACGGGAAAACAAGGCTTTTAGTCCCAACATGGTCAGCTTGCAATCATTCTGAGCTACCAAAACACACAAAAGATATCTTCTGATAACCATTAAGTACTAAAGTAGACCGGTTTCATTCAAACATATAGCCCCCGCTAAACTCAACTTGCCAAGAGTTCTACAAGGCACTCCGACATCCAGAGCTGCCCCTGTTAGCACTCGCTATTGGATTATGGCAGCAACTCCGATCGCCCTGCTGAGCCCTCTGAGTCACAGATCCATCCAGCTTTATTAGTTACCTCAACTTGGGGCTTCCAATACATACAACCAGACCAGCTTTTCAGTCCAGGCTTGCCATTCTCTATTTCATTCGTTCCTCTGACTCTTAACCACCTTCTAATACTTAAATCACATTTTGAGGCCCCATCCAATTCTGAGAATTTATGAACTAGCCCTAATGGAATTATGGGCGAGGGTCCTACAACGCAATTTAGTACTGAATCCAATCATCACGAGTACCAGATTAACTAGCTATAGCACGACTATTCTCAGCGTATTTACTATCCCAGCAATTTAAAACAGCATGAGAATAAAGAGGATACCGAGAGGAAAAAAACCAGCCTCTGGATCGCTATTAAGCAGAAACGAAAAGATTTACACGTGCAGATAGGTATTTTTCCTGGCCTTCGTTCAAAGCAGTACTAACATATTGAAAACACGCTTTCTGTAATCCGTCTCTTCCCGGGGAAAATGAGGAGATCGCTTTCTCTCAAGTAGAAAGCATGCAGACCGAAAGGACTCGGTTTTATTAAGTCAGCGGCAAACCTCCCCAGCCGTATAACTGACCAGCCGGTCTGCAAAGAGCCGAATCCTGCAGAA